GACAGTGAGGGACAGTGTGGGACAGTGTAGGACAGTGTGGGACAGTGGGACAGTGAGGGACAGTGTAGGACAGTGAGGGACAGTGTGGGACAGTGAGGGACAGTGTAGGACAGTGAGGGACAGTGTGGGACAGTGTGGGACAGTGTGGGACAGTGAGGGACAGTGTGGGATGATGAGGGACGGTGTGGGCCGGTGAGGGACAGTGCGGGGCTGTGGGACAGTGTGGGACAGTGTGGGACAGTGCGGGGCTGTGGGACAGTGTGGGACAGTGTGGGACAGTGCGGGACAGCAGGACGGTGAGGGACAGTGTGGGACAGTGAGGGACAGTGTGGGACAGTGTAGGACAGTGTGGGACAGTGTGGGACAGTGCGGGACAGCAGGACGGTGAGGGACAGTGTAGGACAGTGAGGGACAGTGCGGGGCTGTGGGACAGTGTTGGGACAGTGCGGGACAGCAGGACGGTGAGGGACAGTGTAGGACAGTGAGGGACAGTGTGGGACAGTGCGGGACAGCAGGACGATGAGGGACAGTGTAGGACAGTGAGGGACAGTGCGGGGCTGTGGGACAGTGAGGGACAGTGTGGGACAGTGAGGGACAGTGTGGGACAGTGCGGGAGAGCAGGACGGTGAGGGACAGTGTAGGACAGGGACAGCAGGACGGCGAGGGACAGTGCGGGACTGTGGGACCGTGTGGGACAGTGAGGAACAGTGTGGGACAGTGTGGGATGATGAGGGACGGTGTGGGCCGGTGAAGGACAGTGTAGGATGGTGAGGGACAGTGTGGGACAGTGAGGGACAGTGCGGGGCCGTGGGACAGTGTGGGTCAGTGAGGGACAGTGTAGGACAGTGAGGGACAGCAGGACGGTGAGGGACAGTGCGGGGCCGTGGGACAGTGTGGGTCAGTGAGGGACAGTGTAGGACAGTGAGGGACAGTGCAGGGCCGTGGGACAGTGTGGGACAGTGTAAGACAGTGAGGGACAGCAGGACGGTGAGGGACAGTGCGGGGCTGTGGGACAGTGTGAGTCAGTGAGGGACAGTGTAGGACAGTGAGGGACAGCAGGACGGTGAGGGACAGTGCGGGGCTGTGGGACAGTGAGGGACAGCAGGACGGTGAGGGACAGTGCGGGGCTGTGGGACAGTGGGTCAGTGAGGGACCGTATGGGACGGTGAGGAACTGTGAGGGACAGTAAGGGACTGTGTGGGACAGTTAGGGACTTTGGGACTGTGAGGGACTCGGACAGTGAAGGATGGCAAGGGACAGTGGACGGTGAGGTACTGGGAGGGGCAGTGAGGGACAGTGTAGGACTGTGAGGGATGGCGAGGGACAGAGTAGGACAGCAAGGGAGCATGAAGGGACAGAGTGGGCCGGCGTGGGGCGGTGAGGCCACGCGGGGGAAGCCCAGGGCTCCTCTGACTGCGTTGGAAAATGGAGGAAGGGTCCTGAAAGGTCCTGATAGAGGTTGAGCCCTTCAGGGTCTCTGGGGGTTTTCAGGAGGAGCTCCCCCACTGCTGACCTAGGGGGCCCTCGGCTTCCCAGGCTTGTGTTTACTCAGGCGACCTGAGCTGGCCCCGACGTCTTTTGGCTTTGGAGAGGCCACAGATGCCCAAGGACAAAGCCCCAGCGGGCCTGTGGGAGGAGGTTTCTCGGGGCGCCAGTGATGCAACTTAGGCTTATAGTTTAACCGTAAAATAAATAATACAAATGATAACAAACCAAGAGTGACTAAAGTAAGAAAAAAAGCAAACAGACGGAAACCCTCTAGTTTTAACTAGAACAAATCCCCTGGCTGGTCCTCTGTTGCCAGAGCCGAGACCTGTCGCTGACCTCTAGCCTCCTGGAGCCCCTGCTTGCACTTCAGCAATAATGCCTGATAGTTAGACACTGAGCACTACCTAATTGGGGTAGTTTAACATATGGAATGAGATTCTGGCCTTATTATCAGGTTAACTATTAACTCTACACCCCATGAAATGATTTGCCTTTTCCCCACTATTATTTACTTACATTCTTTTTAATTTAATTCAAAGGCCTAATTTTGAATTCAAGGCCTTAAGCACGAAAAAAAAAAAAAAAAAAAAAAAAAGAATCTGAAGTATCTTTGCCCTCTCTCGGTTGCAAAACAAACAAACGTTTTGCAGAGAGAAATCTGGCTTCCTTTCTGATGGCTCTTCTGTCTTACAAGGGGCCATTGGGTCATTTTCATGCCTATGCTGTTTGTCAACAATTCAGTTAACCTGTCTCCTTACTGTCATTCATTTAGTATTATTTTAGGATGATGGAAATGAGTCACAACTAATTGCTGAGTTCCTTACCAACTGACTAGTTTTTGATCCAAAGAAAATCTGTCCCGATTTTCTTCCCATTTTGGTGTCATTTATGTTCGTGGCTTACCCATAGGCTGTTATCAGTGTAAAAAAAAGATCAGCCTGAGAACTTGCCAGGGTACATCTTTTCAAACCTCACAGAACAGTATCTACTGAATGGGCACTTGAAGGGGCTCACGTTTCATCTGAAAGGAACCCTGGCTATACCATTTCAAGTCACTACAATACAGTTGTAATTTGTGCTTCAGCCTTATTGGCATGCTTTTACATTCCCCTATTCATAAAACAGTGATAATCACCAGAGCAACCATCAAACACACCCCTTCTTTAGAGAAAGAAGATCAACAGGATACTCACTCTACAGTTGTGAGCTGTATGATGTGCTAATGTTTTGGTAAATTATCAAAAATCATAAAGTCACATGAGTAATACATGATTAATCTGATTTTTCTATTTTAAACAACTTGCAAAATAAACTTGATTTATTCATTTTTGGGGAGAAACCTGTTTAGCCACTAGTTTGCCACGTTTAGCTTACAGTTATATAATATGGCTTTCTCAGCCGTGGAAGAATTACATGAGAAGACTTACACCCCACAAATTTTTAATCTAATAGTCTGTTAATGATGTGTTATAATAAAATTGATATGTCAATAATATTGTAGGACATCTTGGGAAGAGTTTTAAAGGAAAACGCTAAGCATCTTGAAGTGATACTAGCATATTGTGTTTATTAAGTGATTATTCATTGACCTTTAATAGATTAGAACACTACACCAGAGATTCGGGGAAACAGTCTCTTTTTCCTGAACCCAATTTGTTTTAAATTATCTCCAGTAAAGCATGACATTTAAAGTAAGACAGTGTTTTTTATATCTCTCACAGTCTGCTTACTTTTGAGGCCATTTTAAAAGGAATTTATATTAGTTGATTGTTTTTAATAGAAAAGAACTCAACATCTAAAACTTTAGACTTGCATCACATTGACCCAAACTGTCATTCTTCACTTGCCCTTCTTTCAGTGTAAGAAGCAGCTGTCTTTGGAGTGAGAACAAGGGTGAGGTTCTGGCTCCGAAACCTTAGAATCACGGACACTGGTTTCCTGAAAACATTGCTGCTTTCTCTCCTCTCAAAGAAATGCCACATGTCATGTGTAAGCAGAACATGCTGGACAGGCACCTTATTACATTTATATTTGTATAAAAATAAATATAAATTTGTATAAATTATATTTGTATTTTGATATTATTTTAATCCTGTAGAAGAACATATACCAAAATGTATATGTTCTTCTAGATTATAGATGTTTTTATGTTTCTACTTTGTTTATAGTAAATATTTTAAAGTTAAACACATTTTATATGTCCCTCTTGGTCCTAGAGCCTTTGTTTCTGTCTATACGTAATATAAATGTATATTATGCACTTAAACTATTTTATAGATAAGTGTGCAATAAAAAAATATAACCAAGAGAGGAATTACATTTCCTAGAGGGCGTTTGCTTAGTGTGCTACGTTGCATTTGGGGAACATTCATATTGCTGTTCATGGGTGTTTCCAGAACGCATGCATGTACACACACACACACACTCTCTCTCACACTCTCACATATAAAATAAACTCTAGATGATTTTTTTTTTTTTTGAGATGGAGTCTCACCCTGTCCCCAGGTTGGAGTGCAATGTCACCATCTCAGCTCACTGCAACCTCTGCCTCCCGGGTTCAAGTGAGT